AGGGGTCAGTGCCCAGGTTCATGGTATCTGACTCCTCTGATCTCACTGAGCTGGCTCTGGGGTCCCTGGGGACAGGTACCTGCAGGAATTTGCGCCTCTGGGCACAGGAGGTGGTCTCTACCACTTCCGGGATCAGATCCTGGCTGGGGACCCTGAGGCCTTCTTCGTGCTCAATGCTGATGTTTGCTCCGACTTCCCCTTGAGCGCGATGTTGGCTGCCCACAGACACCAGCCTCACCCTTTCTTGCTCCTGGGCACCACGGTGAGGGGGGCTGGAGGGTGTCAATGGGGTGATCCAGAGAGGTTCCTGGGATGTAGGGTGTTGGGGAGGCAGGTCCAGACAGGGAGTTGGAGTGGGAATGCAGGTCAGGAGGGGTAGGTGCTAGAAACCCCAGCAGTAATGGAGGTGGTGGTGGAGAGAGACCTTGAGCCCTTTAGCTGCTCAGAAGTAGAGGGAGGAGGGCAGCTGTCAGTTGTCACCCCATCTGAAGGCTTGTCAGTGGCAGAGCTATGTGCCAGGTGCTATAGGAGAGGGAAAGCACGAGAGAGAAAACAGACCTTGCTGCCCTGGAGCAGGCAGGTCACTGCCTCGGTGTGTCTGTCTTTCAGGCTAACAGGACACAGTCCCTCAACTATGGCTGCATCGTAGAGAATCCACAGACGCATGAGGTAAGAGCAGAGAGGAGGCTGGCTGGGTGCCTATTCTGTGTATCATCATCCTCCCACTCTTTAGCCTCTAGAGCAGCGGTTCTCAACCTGTGGGTCGCGACCCCTTTGGGGGTTGAACGACCCTTTCACAGGGGTTGCCTAAGACCATCGGAAAACATATATAATTACATATTGTTTTTGTGATTAATCACTATGCTTTAATTATGTTCAATTTGTAACAATGAAGATACATCCTACATATCAGATATTTACATTACAATTCATAACAGTAGCAAAATTACAGTTATGAGGTAGCAACGAAAATAATTTTATGGTCGGGGGTCACCACAACATGAAGAACTGTATTAAAGGGTCATGCATTAGGAAGGTTGAGAACCACTGCTCTAGAGAATGCTGGAATGCTATGGGGTGGGCCCCAATCTTGTCCAACAGGTGTGGCACACCCTCAGTTGTTCCCTTCTGTCCCTTTAAGAAAGATTAGGAAGAGGTCATAGATAAATGCCATGGGTGTGGTGCTCCAATAGATATATGCATAGGTTGCTATGGCAACACAAAAGGGCTCCTACCAGCCTACCTGGGTGGGGGTGGGGAGGGCTCCCTGGAGGAGGTGTGGTCTGAACTGAGTTAAATTTGGCAGCATGAAGGAGACAGGAAGGCATTGCAGGTAGAGGGAACAATATATGCAAAGACATGGAGGCAGGAAACAGCATAGTGCCTCCAGAATTATGGAGGTGGGAGCATAATTAGCAAGGCGGGCGTGGGGCTGGGGATCTCTGTCCTTGTCTCTGAAACTCCCTGCTCTGGAGCCTCACTGACTTTCATACACCCCTTTTGTCTGTTCAAGTTTTAGTATTAAAAATACATATGTGAATACATTATATATATACTAGAGGCCCAGTGCATGAAATTCATGCACTGGGGTGGGGGGGTGGTAATCCCTCAGCCCAGCCTGTGCCCTCTCACAGTCCAGGAGCCCTCAGGGGGATATCCGACTGACAGCTTAAGCTGTCATCTCCAGCCATGAGCCCGGCTTCTAGCTGAGCACACTGACCACCAGGGGGCAGCTCCTGTGTTAAGTGTCTGCCCCCTGGTAGTCAGTGTATGTCATAGTGACCGGTCATTCTGCTGTTTGGTTGATTTGCATATTAGCCTTTTATTATATAGGATATTTACACATGCACAGAGTTTTGTGTTAGGCATTAACTAGGTGTGAAAGAAACAGCCAGAAAGACACAACCCTGCCTCTCAGGAGCCCTCAGTCTGGGGGAGACATCAAAAACCAACGATTGCAGAGGACACAAGTGCCACTATGGGAGGATGAGGTGTGGCCAGAGAACAGGAATGCCCAGAGCTGAGAAGCTGACTCCGGGGCAGACAAGAGTGTACTTAGAGAGGGAGTGACGATGTCAACTGGGTTTTTGAAATCAAAGTCTTCCAGACGAAGAGTTGGTTAAGGGCATTCCGAAAGGCACCGGCATGCGTGGCATGGAGTTGTGTCCTGGAACCACTGGGAGGTGGGGAGGATCGGGAGGGAGAAGGCAGACAATTCGGACTTATCTTGAAGGTGGAGTTGAAGGGCAGTGACAAGATATGCTCTGCATTTTAGGAAGACTCCCGTGGCAACAGGAGGACCTGGCCATTTGGAGGGCCTTAGGGGATGGTGGCCGTGGCCCCTCCTCTGCTGACCCCAGCCTGCCCTGTCCTCAGGTTCTGCACTATGTGGAGAAACCCAGCACGTTTGTTAGTGACATCATCAACTGCGGCATCTACCTCTTTTCCCCGGAAGCCCTGAAGCCCCTTCGGGATGTCTTCCAGCGTAATCAGCAGAATGGGCGACTGTGAGGCAGACCCCATGGCCCTGTAACCCCAAGTACCCTGAGTCACAGCCCCCCTGCCCCAGTCTCTGCTGGCTCCATCTCAGCCAGCTCATCTTCCTCCTCCCTTCCCCCTTCCACTTGTCATCTCCAGCCAAGCCTCTCCAGTTCCTCCCCTTCTAACCTCATTCTGTCCCTCTTCCTTATCCATCCCAGTTCCTCCTCTGTCACCACCTGCCCACTCCCCTTCTGGTCCATTTCTCTCAAGCCCTGAGTGTCCCAGAGATGTCTTTCAGAACAGACGGTAACACACACACTTGGGCGCACATATGTTTGGGTGCAGGCATGCGTGTGTGCACGTGCGCGCGCGCGCACACACACACACACACTCAGGCTGAGGAGGCTCCCTTTGGAGTATAGTACCCACCACAAACCACAATCCCAGGGTGGTCCTCCTAGGCCTGGGAACGGTTCCCTTCTCTGGCTCCCCTGCCTTCATTCCCTCTCATGCCTCATTCCCTCATAGCCATCTTTTCACTCCCACTCTTATCTCTGCTTCTCTCTCCATCTCTCCTGGCCTTTTTGTTTCTGCTGAACTGGCATCTCTACCATCTCTCTCTCCCTCTTTTTCTGTGACTGTCTCTGCCCTCACCAGCTGCCTTCCTCTGGGGTGAGTCTGTCTGTGTTTCATTCCATCCAGTGAGAGGGAGGGACCGGAGGTGGGGTTTAGAGGGGTGGATGGGAGGAGGATGGGATAATTGGGGGAAGCCAAGTCTGGTCGAACTCCTTCTGGACATGGGGCAGGATGGGCAGCAGGCCTGGGGCTCCCCTGGGATAATCCCCAGCTGGGAGAGTGAGGGGCTGAGTGGTGGGTGAGCCTCCTGGGATGTGAGCATCCTTGGGAGAGGCCTTGCAAGGTAATGGGGTGCCTTCCGATTCCCCTTCCTGAGAGACTGTATTGGCCACCCAGTTGGGCTCAGTTGGGGAACTGAAGTCAGCATCCTGTCCCCTCTACCAGGGAGGACTCTTCAGGCCTGTGGCGGGGGGCAGGCACCATCCGCCTGGAGCAGGACGTGTTCTCAGCCCTGGCTGGGCAGGGCCAGA